TGAAAAATTTATTATATAAAAGAAATATGAAAAAATATGTCAATTTTTATGTTTTTTATATTAATTATTATATATATTTCTATACTAAATAATAAAATTTAATAGATTTTAATTTTTTATGATACATATAATAATGCATCTAATAATATAATAAACAAGATTTTAATAACTAAGTTGTATTTATTCTATAATCAAGTTCATTCAATGCAATAGATAAATATTAGGAAAAATATCATTCATGCCTTTAAAAATTTTTGAAATATGAAGAATATCCATGTATGCTAATAACAATAAATATAGCCCTCACTTTTGTGATAATTACATGCATATGTTGGTATAAAGTGGTCTCAATTGAGCTTTTGAAGGATTGGAATAAGAATAGTTACAAGACAATCCAACAACAATTATGTCATTTTAAGATTCACCATAGAAAATCATAAAAATATTTATTAGTGTTACAACCAATTCCAGCAAGAAAGCAAAAAAGACCACAACAACTCTTCAAAACAATCCAAGTAAAGACTACTTTATTAAGAATATTTTGGTCTAATTGTTTTTTGTCAAGTGGACGTTTCTTTGATGCCAAAATTGCCATAAAATATTGCCATGTGGATACTTTTAATCAAAATGCATGTTGATTAATTGCCTCTATTGTGAAGACTAGGCAATCAATTTTTTTCTTGGTGAATTTGAAAATTTTGGGGAGTGGTTTGACCAGGCAGGCCACAATATAACTTACAGTAGAGCCCAAAGTTGACACCAGTATAACATTCACTGGGATGAACCACCTAACGGTGACGACCGCAGAGAAAAATCAACATGAGGTGAATCAATATCATCTTTTTTTGTGAGGAAGAAGACATCAATTATCTATGCTCACAACAGATTATTGAAAGGCTAGAATGAGAGCAGCAAATATTTCTACTAACGTTCTTAGTTCAGAAATTGTGTGGAAGGTCGTTTTTCAGTTACAAAATTTGCACAAGCAGATCTTCTGTAGGAGAGATAGTAAGGGAGAGTGACCTTGCCGGTGAGAGGGAGCTGAAAGAATGCCAATATAAAAGCTTGCAAGAAGTACACCCAGAGCGCACATTACCAGCACCTTCGCAATGGGTAGAATAGCGAACCTCAAAAGAGTAAACACATTCTTGTGCACAAACGCATCACCCACGCAGGGATTCATGACTTTGTCTCGATTTCACCAGCAACCCTTCTAAACTGTCACCAAAATTGATTTGTTTCTCACCATATCTTGTGACACTCAGCTTCGTTTATTAGGCACTCTGGAAATCTAGATTCACCTCAGAAGCTTTCATGAAAATGACAGGAGTGAACACTGACTAAATTCGGGGCCCTAGACTCCCATTCTATTTTTTTCCTAGTATATTGGATGAATGTCTTTCAACCACATCCATGGGGAAAGTCATAAACTCATCCACATCCACATTTTTTTGCCTTGGCAAACACTGACAACATAAATAGTAGTTGGTGGAAAAGGGTTATCCACTGTATTCTGTTATTTCAATTGCTGCATTAGATAAAGATGCAATTGTCCAAATTATTGTATAATCATTCATAAAATATATAAAGAAGTACAACTTGTGAGGTAAAAACAACTCATGAGGATTTTTTTGCTTTTTATTTGAAAGAAGTTGATGTGAGAGTACAATCAAAGCAACTTATACAGACATCTTAGTGTAAAAAAGAGTAAATAAACAAAATTTTCAACTACAGTTTTTTTTTATGAATTAGTGGAAGAATAGCATCCTCATATTCTAAAAGAAAGTGGTTTTTAGACTTGAAACATGACTTTATGGTCTCAATTGAAAATTTACAAGAAAAATATTTTTACGAATTCACACACATGGGCCAAATATGTGCTGATTGGATAGTCCCAATGTTTGTTACTATTAGGTATGTGGGTGTTGAATGTAAGGACACACACTTTGGGCATGAGGGCACATGACATTCCTTTCATTCTTATATTTGTTGATGTTTGGTGTGGCCCACATGAAATCTTTTGCTGCTGGAACAAAGAATTTATACTAAGAAACCTTAATGTTCCACCTCAGATAGTAACAAAACAAATGAATTTAAAATTTAATTTGGACATGCTTCAGAACTCTTTTGAAAATATGTTGTGAGTACATCAAAAAGAAAATTTTATATACTATAAGAGTTAGTATGATATATCATAAGAACTTTAAAAAATTGATATTGTTTCTAGGTATTTCAGTAAAAGATTAGTTTTTTTGTTAGCATCTTCCTAGTGGTTTTACAATCTTTTCAGGACACTTGCAATATTCTTGTAATAACATTTTTGTGTACTTATTAGTAATATATTAACACCAATATGAAAAAATTCTAATTTAGTTTAGTGTTGCTTTAAATATGAGAAATATTCTATTTTACCTTTTTTAAATTCTTCAAAATATCTAGAATGAACTTTTTTTTTATTTTAGAATTGTTTTAATTATATTTATAATTTTCTATAAAAAAATTAAATTTTTATTGACAAATCCTTCATTGCTACATAGTTACTATTACAAAATCAAGAATACTAATTTTTAAGCAATACCTACAATTAGTAAAATTGGCTTTTATTTAGTACAAGAATACATTATATTCTTATACAAAACAATTCTTGTAACAAAGATGTTAACTACAAGCCTTCATTATTATTAATAGTATATTATCAAAAAATCTAAAAATTAATTTATATATCTAATTTTTCTATTCATTTGAAAATAAAATATCAAATATAAGTTAATATTCGTCTTTTTATATCTCAAAGAACATCCGAAAAAAAAATTGATACAAAGTAGGGGCTTTGATTACATATTAAAGTAATTAGAAGTTTATCTTAATCAATAAATATTTTTAAAGAAGATTTTAGTTTTTTTTTTTTTTTTTTTTTTTTTTTCTTAAAAAAAAACTAGTGGTGACATATATATTCTACATGAAAATATATGAAGTTGATTGCATAATCTATTATCAAAAAAATGATTGGTATACAAAATTACCATAATACATCCTAACAAACAAATGATAGGTATACAAAATCATCAACCAAATCCTCTATCAAGTTTCAAATTTCTATAATTTTTTTTATATGTATATATATATATATATATATATATATATCTATATGGTTTCCATTGAAATAATTAATATATATAGGCAAGCTTATTTTTTATATTTAAATTTATTTTTTAAAAAAATACTCATTCTAAAATTTTTAATTATTAAAAATTAAATATCATGTAAGGTATTATTTAAAGTTAAACTTTTGAATTAATTTTTTTATAAACTCCTAGTATTTTAATATAATATATATTTATTAGATCTTGAGTTTAGGTGGTTAATTGTATAACTTTTTTAATTTTTTATAAAATTTGAATAAAAATATTTTATCTATTTGTGATTCTTTCAAAATAAATAAAATTTATGAAACTATCTCTAAAATCCAAAAAGAAAAAATATTAAAAAAAAATTAAAAAATTCAAGTAAATTTTATTTGTTACTTTGATGCATCACATTGTTAAGAGGTAGCAAGTAAGAAGAAAGAAGAGAAAATAATAATAATAATAATAATAACTAAGAATCCACTTGGCCCTATAAGACATGAAGGGATTTGAATCCAACTACCACCTCTTGAAAGCTCCAAAAACAAATACAAAACCTTGAATTCTATCACCCAAAACAAATTCAAAGCATCAATCCAAAACTAACGTATCATCCAAAACAAACTCAAAACATCAAACCAAAACTAATGTATCATCCAAAACAAACTCAAAACATCAATCCAAAACTAACATATCACCCAAAACAAACTCGAAGCATCAATCCAAAACTAATGTATCACCTAAAACAAATTCAAAACATCAACCCAAAACTAACATATCACCCAAAACAAACTCAAAGCATCAACCCAGCGCAACTTTTCCAACCCAGTTCAGAATACTACCCTACCATCCAGGACATGACATTCTTTAGTGTATATGTGCATGCACAGGTCTTCGCAACAAAACCCACTGTTTAAACCATCTATCTGCTTGTCCCCAGCATAACAAAGACAGCGTTGACGACACGAAGGTGGATGAAGTCCTGGGCACTGAGTTTGGCTTGAGAGTGTGAGGACAAACCAGGTGCAGAGTCACGGGAAGGGGAGGATCCGTAAGAAATCTCAACCAGAAGGGAATCAGACACGAGTGGGAGTCAAATCAGAACAAACATAAAAAAGGAGGAACAGAGTGGGCTGAAGTGGGTTTTCACACTTCAGCTGGGTGGGGGTTGCAATGTGGAGTTCAGGTCGTAGCGGTGATGGTATTGCAGTGCTTGACTTGGACGCTGGATGATATGATCTACAGGCGTGAACTCGCGCATGAGTCTAGTGGCTTGGTAGGTAGACCATGCTAGCGCGATGCAACTGAATTGACACATTTGGAATGGTTTTCTTATTATTATTTCTATACAGTGGTAGGTGATTCTGACTGCTGGTTTTTCAAGGTTGAGTTTTGCTTGAGTGGATGACTTTAATGATGTTTTTTGGAGATGCAGTAATGGTTTTGGATTTTTTGCTGGTTTTTTGTACCCCCACGGGAAAGGTGCGTTTGGGGCCATTGAGTGGCCTGGTAGATGAGGTGGAGAAGGCGGAAAAGTGAATAGAAGTAGAACTAGTTTCTAACTTCACCTTACGTACATCATGCTTTTATCAGTAATGAATTCGTTCATTTCACTCCAAATTGTATGCGGCTCTTTCTCGTTGATTTGGTTCGATTATGTGATGAAGCTGGTGACTAAGTCGTCTCCAGGTGCCGGTATAATTTGTCATGGATTAAACATCCATCACCACAATGTTCCTGATGATTGATAACGTGAAAAAGATTCAATTCTGTACCAAATTATCTCCGTGAATATACTGTGGTAAGAGTAGGGATTAACTAGAGTCGCTGAAAAGTATTTACCCAAGGATTTATAACTCTATTGTAGACGCCTCATTAAAGATCATCTTCTCCCAAATGGCTGATCGACGACGTATTCTCTCCCGGTTTTTTGCCCTTCCTGCATAGAAAACTTGACACCGCATGTTTGGCGACCATTCAGTCAGTCGATTGGCTATCAAACTTGCCTACATTGTTCCAGATCGTTCGGTGAGTTCTTCACGGTAAGCTCATTACGTGCAAGCCAATTCAAACATAGTACTCTGCAGAAAACTGAAAACTTGTCGCTGAGCATTCGTCTTACAGAACATCAAGGGTTCAAATTTTCCAATTAATTTCCATGGCGCGTCTGCAACTACACAAAATTCTTTCAAGGACTGTTTTTCTGAATTAGCTGCGAGGCTAGCGAGACTGATGCATTCTCACCCATCGCGTTGAACATGATTTGTTTACCTGGAGAGACCATGCGAAATGGGTAGCAAGAGCGTGAGTCCTGACCCGAGTCGTCAATGATGTGACGTTGAAAACTATGACTCTCGATCCTGTAGATAAACACAAAGACAAACAGTAAAGCTGCAGTCACACTTCAAAATGCTGCCTGATGGATTTTATCAGTTCTTCAGCTTCCTGCGGGCAATCACAAGCCCTGCGACCAAGTTCGAGGGAGTCGTCGGAGACGGGCGAGAGAAAGCATTGCTCAAGCATGTCCTCATCAGCGCTGACAACGACAGCCCCGACTCTGTCCTCGAAGCCGTCAACGATTTCTGCAAAAGAACGTGGCTCATGTGCATCGGAGACGAGAAAGGCGCCCTCCTGGATTCCTGTGTGCTCCACAGAAACCCGCGGGTAGCACTCGAACTAGGCGCTTACTGTGGCTACTCTGCGACCCGAATCGCCTCACAGATGAAGGAACCCGCAAGCATGCTCATCAGTCTCGAGATGAACGCCACCAATGTGGACACCGCACGCCAGCTTATTAACCACGCAGGTGTGTCAACAATAACGATGCGGATCACAATCTGTCCGCTTGCAATGTACTGATCGTGCGCTTGGTATTTGCAATCACACTTCCTTGTTTATGCGTTGAAGAGCTTAACTGGATGCTCTACGTCCGGCGGAGGCTTCTCGTCTCGTGAACGCACATCTGATAGTCATAGTGCATTTGCTGAAGGTTTGTCGTCGCGAGTGCGAGTGATTAACGGGGTGCTCAGCGAGAAGCTGCAAGAGCTTAGAAACATACTCAACTCCTTGAAGACGAACATTTTCGAGTTTGTGTTCATTGACCACAACAAGGACTCCTACTTGTCCGACTTCTTGCTACTCAAGGAGAATGGGCTCATTGGCAAGGGCACCGTCATAGTGGCTGATAATATGAAGTTTCCTGGTTCACCCAAGTACCGCCGCTACTTACGAAAGCACTCCGAAGAGTTCGAGACTGTGGAGTTGAAGTGCGCGTTTGAGTACATTTCGTGGCTGCCAGACAGTCTCATGGTGTCAACCTGGAAGTGAGCGAGGGGACCGTTGCAGTCGCAGTTGGTGAGGCAGATCCCTGTTCACAGCATTATAGCTCGTAGTTGTATTCTTGATGTTACATCAAACAGAATTCAAGCTTGACCAGCTCACACTCGAATTCTCTTTAATGTAAGTTGTATCCGGTTATGGATCTCCACATCATATACTAAAGCTCAGTGAAGATCAGATCCTTACTGTGATGAAATAATCTTCATGCAATAAGCTCTTGTGCAATATCCATATCATGAAGCAGTGATTGAGACTAAGATTGGTCCTTGCCAACCAGAGCAACGTTACGCGTTTTCATAGAAATTGATGCATGGTGATTATTGATGTTTGTTGTGCACTGCTTATGGAAGGTCATGGTTCTATCGAAGAGTCCACGCTCATTGGTATAAGGTAAGATCGTCTAGAGAGTGCATCTAACAAACCTTGTTGTTTTCTTGGTCAATAAGTGATCTTGAATTCGAATCTTTACAAAGACATACTCCAATGGACTTGGTGATGATTCAAAACATGTGCTAACTTAAAATATTCAAGGTTCTTGTGATCCATATATACTATGACTAGGCTAGAAGCACCTTCTAGATAATGGCGTTATTCTTGAAACGAATCCACGATTGCAAGAAGTTTTTTATCGTGGATCTCATAGTTAATCTCGGTTGCTAAAAATTTTTTGGAATAAAAAGCTATTGGGTGAAGTTCATTACCTATTCCCATTTGTGACAATGCGGCACCCAAAGCAAAGTCTCATGAGTGTGTTTCCATAAAAAATGGCTTAGATAAATTTACATAATATAAGATTGGTGAAGAAAGAAAGGTTGTCTTCAAAGCTTCAAATGCTACTTCTACTTCTTGATTCTATTGAAATTTGTCTTTACAAGTCAAACGTATAAGTGAAGCTGCAACTTGAGAGAAGTCTTTGTTGAAGATCCAATAGTAGTTGGCAAATCCCAAAAAGCATTGGACATTTCTTACCGTTTTTGGGATCTTCCAATCCATAATAGTTTGAATTTTCTTAGGATCCATCATAAGTCCATCATTTGAAATGATGTATCCTAAGAAGTCAACTTGAGTAGTATGAAATACACACTTTTCTATCTTGGTGTGAGCTCTCAATTATACTCTAAATTTTTTTTTTTTTTTTTTTTTCTATTCTATGATAAGTAAACATATTAGATTAGAATTTATATAAGTAGAATTTAGTTTTATAGAATTTTTAGGATTAAAACCCTTGATGGTATAAATTATAGCCTAATTCCTTGAATTAGGTTAATTAGGACTAAAGTGAAAGAGTTAGAAAATTAGAATAGTAACTTAGTTAATTTAATAATTTAGAGGTTGTTAGTTATTACTTTAAGGGTTGACTAAAAGCCTATGAGTGCGTCTGTAATCATTCACATGATTTAGGAGTTCGAATTATAATTCTTTAAAAGATTTAGAAATGATAATTTTGGATTTTCCTCCAAATTCGACAAATTTAAGCGGCATGGTGGTTCTTCTACTTAATGGGAGTCTTTTTAATGCAATAGTGGCACCGGATTTACCTCATGGAGTGAAGAAAACAAGATCAGCAACCTCTCCTTGAAAATACAAGAGAAGCAATGAAATTCTTATTTTGAAGAATTTCACAAAAATTGCCAAGATCCTTGTAAGTAAAAACTTCCATGAAAATTATAATTGAGCATGGATTGAGGCATGTGAGTAGTCGTTCTTAGCTTAAAAAGGTGTTTTGAACACAATAATGAAGTTAGATTTACAAAAAAAATACTTTCTTGACCACTTACAAGAGCCATCAGCCTTGGTAACAAGATTGGCTCTTGGATTAAAGAAGGCCGTAGATCTAGATTAGGGATCTTAAAAATCAAGGGTGGAGATGTAACCACCCTTCTACGAGCCTCCACTCAATTGTATAAGAGAGGCTTGGTTTTCCAAACCCTCTCTCTCTCTTCTTTTGGGTGAAGGGCGGAGCCATGCCAAAATTTGGCTGAAATCCTAATCTTAATTTTATTTAGATTTTAATTCTCATTGTGAACCTTGTGATTGTATATATATGGATTTTGTATTGTGAAGGATGGTCATTAAGTTTTAATATATGTTTCATTGAGGTAGATATCTCCTCGGCCTTCCAAATACCCTAAGGGTTTCAAGGGCCTTGGATTTTCTTCAATTAGTCACGATTGGATCATTAGATTGCAATGAATATTATTGAATCAAAAGCATCTTCAAGTGAGCCTTGCAACAAGCTAAGAATCATTCAAATTGAAGCGGATTACAAATTTTGGAAAATTTTAGAGTAGAGGGGGTCGCTACCTTCAATCCTTAGGTGTTGTTGTGGTACCTTCGCTTTCACCTCTCTCACTTTATTTTTACTATCACCTTTACAGTGAATTGTAAGCTCCACATTTCACTTTTTGGCTAATAAATTTTAAGTTCAACTTTTGACCTTTAATATTCTCACTTAAACTTTTAATTTAAACTTTTAACTTTAACTTTTAAACTGAACTTTTAATATTAACTTTTCACTTAACCTTTAATCTTAACTTTTAATTTAATTTTTAATTTTAACTTTTTTTAACTTAACTTTTAACTTAAATTTTAATTCAAACTTAAGTTGTATTCTTATAGTCAATTAATAGTAATAATTTAGTTAATTATTTTTATTATATTTATATAGTAAATTTTATTTAACATGTTAATTTAATATTGATAATTATTGCTTGGAAGGCCTAAACTAATTAAATTTTTAATATAAAGGTTTAAATTAATCTAACAATTACACAATTGGGAGCTCTCCAATTCCACCTTTTCGACTTGTTGTGTGGCATAGGTTTCATCAAGTGGTGAAATTTGGCCTCACACCTGGAATAGAGTCCCGCATCTCTTAGTTTTTATAATACTTGGCGAACATGAAGTTCATGTTCTTTTGAGTTCTTAGAATAAATTAAAATGTCTAGATAACAGATAACAAAATCATCTAAAAACTTCTAAAAGACATCATTCAATAGATGTTGGAATGCTACTAGTTCATTTGTAAGTCCAAAAGGCATGACATTGTATTTGAAATGTCCATACCTTGTTCGAAACGTAGTCTTCCATTCATCTCCTTCTTTGATGCGTATCAAATTGTATGCTCTCCGTAGATCTATTTTTGTATAGATCTTAGCTTGATTTAACTAATCAAGAAGTTCAGATATCAAAGGTAGTAAGTACTTATTTTTGATAGTGATTTTGTTGAGTCCTCGATAATCAACACACATCCGCAATGTACCATCTTTTTTCTTTACAAATAAAATTGGAGCTCCTGCTAGAGATTTGGAATGGCATATGAAATTCTTGGCCAAATTGTCTTCAATATACTCCTTGAGTTCAGCCAACTCATTTTGAGATAAATTATAGATTGGTCCAAATGGCAATTGTGCTCATTCTTGAAGGTCAATTGAACAATCATAGGAATGATGTTCTAGAAGAGTATCCGCATTTTTTTTCTCAAATATATCTTAAAAATCTTGATATTGGCTTGGAATGCCACTTCAAGTCTTTCCACCAGTAGAAACAGGTGTGGCATAAATGACTCAAGGTGATCTTTTTTTTGCAGCATGCAAGAAAGCACTTATACCTACAAATATAGGTTTAATTATACTAGACTTATGATTTTCTACTTGATTAATTACACTCTTAGTTATACTTTCAGAAAAATCAAGACTATGAGAAGTCTAATCTATTTTAAGATTATAATTTTTTAGTCATGGTTGCGTCGCTTCTTTGGGCAATATTAAGTAGTGTGCTTAGATTCTCTACAATATAAGCACAATCCTTCCTGACGACGACGAGTCTTTTTTTGCTCAGTAAGAGGTTTGAAACGTACTGCATCAATTTGCATATACTCTACTTCCGAATGTATGTGTTGAAGAGATGTTGATGTTGCTATTGAATTATAGTAACGTTGAGGTGAACTTGTTCGGTTCTCAGATGGAAATTCAAAAAAGTGATTGTTGCACTTCACAGAAAAGTCAATTGCTTGACCTAATGTTTGAGGATTAGGTAAGTTGAGTATTAATTTTTTTACCTTATATTGTAATCCGTAGAGAAATTGGCTAATAAGTGCAACATCATTCCACATGATATCAGTTGTAAGTTGTCAAAATTGTGAAGCATATAATGTTACTGATCGATTACCTCATCATAAAATATGGATCTTATTGGTTGCAACACAAATTGCATCATGTTCTCCATACATGGATCAAAACTCTGCCAAAAAAATCTCTAGATTATCCAATATTGGATCTCGTCGTTCAAGAAAAGATAAAAACTATGATAATGCTGAATCTGAAAGAAGCGTACTAATGAATCTAACTTGCAATCCTGGAGTTGGATAGCTTTGGGATTGAAGTTCAATTACAAGTTGTACTTGATTGATAAATCTTCTAAACTTTGATTTGGTGCCATCAAACTTCTTGGGTAGGACAATTCTTGGTTCTCTAACACTAGAAGGGCGTTCCACTATAGGAAAAGGGACATGATTTGGTGTAGATGTTGGAGCAGCTCCAATCATTTCTATATCTTCACTTCCTACCAATCTTGTTGCTTCTTGTGGTGGTAAATTGAGATGATGCATCACAAGCATTAACTCCCTGAATTGCTCTTGTATTTATGCCATTGCACTCTTCATTTTAGCAAGTTTTGTTTTGATATCACTTAGAAAAGAGAAGATGTCTAATATCGCTCAAGATAAATAGAAAAGAAGACTTGAAAATAAAGAAAATACTAAGGATAATATCAATTTAGAAGAAGGTAATCCGCAACTTCTAATATGCTTATGTCTTATCAAGAAAAAGGAGTAATCCACTCTTAATCAAAATTAGATAAAGCTCTGATATTATATGTATACTCTTGTCAATCTGTCAAGTACAAGAATCTGATAAAGACAAATAAACAAGTGAAACTTCTCTCAAAGAAAGATGACAAAATAGAAATAACTTGATATGTATATTAAAAAAGAAACTGAAATGGCTATTGTCACGGCCATAATCATGTAAGCTAATAATTACATATAGAAATAGGTAGAAGTAAGTAAAAGTAGATAAAAGTAAGTTAATTCTATAATATTTAATATAGAAGCTTCCTAGAAACTTCCTAGACGTTGCTTTGACTTCATAGGTGTCTTTAATTGACTTTTTGGATTAGAAACGTGGTCAACAAGTTGGCCATGTACCACACATGTTGTTAGCTTGAAGATCAAGCTAACAATATGGCCCACACGTAG